AGATATCTCCACAAATGAACATTTCCTTGGTTTTTCTCTCGAGTGGTTTATTAACTGATCCACTGAATGATTTCTGGGAAAAGTCCCAAGCATGATATAATTTTTTCATTACATTTTAATAGAATTAATTTATTTTTCAATTTTGTGCTTCTAGTAAAAAATTATCATATAATTTTTAATAATATTTACCAATACTGGATATATATTCTGTATTCCATCATATACAGTAGTATCCCTTTCAAGATATTCATTTTCTTTGGAACAAGGATAATTGCTCTGATTATGAGCTTAATTAATATTTGAATGATATTTAGAATAATTGTAAAAGAATTACACTTTTTAAAAGTATTTTACACTAATTAAGTTAGAGGAAGTTTACATTCTTGTAAATTATTATATTTAATTCGAAGTTTATATCAGTGATGTATAATTTCATCAAAGTTATCATGTGTAGAAAAGACATCAATTATTTTATACTCTAACAAATAGTAAAATGAATCACATAATTGATTATTAAAATATCCCTTGAATATATAACGCATGCAAAATATGGAATTTCTCAATTGTATTGAAATCTTATTTACACTAATGTTAATTCGAAGTACAACATCTATTGTAGTATCATAGTTATTTTCACAATGAGCAGCATTACCTATATTGAATTTATTATAACCATTATAAATATGAAAAATTGAAAAATCATTTCCTATAATTTAAAAAGAAAATGAAAATTATATAATAAGTTTATATTTATACTAATAGTTGCACCTTTATTATATTTATATCCAAAATAAAACAGAGAAAAAAAAAAAAAAAATATATACTATGCTTTTTTTTATTTTCTTATAATAAGATATCCTGATATTTTTATAATATACTTAACGATTGACAATACAAATGAAAATATATTTAACATAAATTTAATATTTTAATCTCAAAAAAAAAGAAAAAAATTAAACGCATATTTATAAAATGTATTATTTCGTTATGTTTAAGGGTTCAGTATTTATTTATTATTATTTTGCTATTGTATATATATATATTACTCTTATGAATTCATAAAATATTATATATCATTACTTATTTAGAAGAATAATATAAATTGTTATATTTATTCTATTAAATAAAATATATAAGAAATATAATAATTTAATTATTTGAATTTTTAATAGTAAATAATTAATTACATTAATCTTTGCATTTATTTAACAAATACTTCTCTCATATTTCATGGCAAAGGATTTAGGTTCTCATTTTATGTTTATGTTTTAACATGTTCTATATTATATTATTGGTCACAATCGAAACGAATTAATATAAAATTCTTGAAGTTTTTATGTACTATTTTTTAATATTTTAAATATTAATAATATACCATTTACTATAGTTACATATGATCTTAGTAGGCCAACTGAATAAACATTGAACATGTTTATTTTTTATTATTCATTTTTACATTTGTCTATATATATATTACTGTTATATACAATATATTATAAAGGAACATCTTTGAAGAATATAAGCAAAAATATTTCCATACATGCTAAACATAAAATATTATGTATCTCCATAAGTTATTTAATAGATTGTGTAATTTTTACGTTTATAATGTTTTACTACTGTGTATAATAATATAAAATTTTTATTTAATTATAACAGCTTAATGCGTAAATAATAAATTTAAAAATTTTATCTGTTATTTATTTTTTTTTATACTGACACATCTACGAATAAAGGATATTTTATATAATTTTTCATATACATATATATTCTTACAAATATATTAATTAAAATTATGTTTTCGGAGTACCACTGATTATATATATCTCTATAAAATATAATAATATATAAAATATTTATTTCATGTAATAACTCATGATGATAAATATATGAATAATCATATAACAATTTATGCTTGTCATATATTCAATATTATTTTAGTGCCTTTATTTGTTCATTTTTTCTAAAGAGTCTATATTAATCACATCAGAATAATGTGCATATGTATCTGATAAATATATTATCCATTTTAAATTATATCAACATGGAGAGATATTTATTTATATGTAGTGAATAAAATATGTTTATCAAGAATAATTTTATCATTTCTGATTTAAATAAATAACATATATGTTTTATTATAAATATTGTAAAATTAAAGTAGGACGTTTTATAAATATAATTCATACTTAAATAAATTAATATTTTCATAAACTAAAATTACGCAAGTAGTGTTGAATATAATATTTAAAGCAAGTATAGCGTATATCTTAATTTTGCTTGAATTATATAAGTTATTCTAATGATTTTTTGTTTAATATAATAATAATAGTGTTATCTCAATATATATATTTTTCATGATAAAAGTGGCTACGGTTAATAGGTGATATTCAATTTTATATGAATTAATTAAATTAATATATTAGTCACATGAATGTTACAAAAATGTATACAATAAAATTTAATACTCCCTTTAGTAATTTATTTAGAATAAAGGAATCTCAAATATAGTACACTTAAGCAGAATTCATATGTTATTACAAAATTAAGTAGAATTAGGATAATTAAAATTTAGTACTACTAAAAATAAAAAAATATATAAAAAAATATAACAGTATAAGAAAAATAAACATTTAAAAAGAATTTCTGTAGAAATAATCATTCTCCACATTACTTTAAATACATATGCACTATATCAATTCAAAATTGCAGATCAACCTATTGAACATAGCTTCATATATTGTTATAGGATATACGAGTTTCCATATAATTTGAATAAAAATTTACACACATGTATGCTGTATATTGCAATTGTAAATAATAATTATTTTTTATACTGTTTATAAAAAAAAAATTGTGGATTATCATTGTAAACAAAATTAATAGAAATGTTTTTAGTACTATATGTATTTATTATATTGTTAATAGTGTAATAAAATATATGTAATATATATTATGTTATTATATAAATTTTATTTGAACAAAATTCTCATACATGAGTAAAAATGAATAAAATATATTTATATAATGTGTAACTAGTATAATAAAATCTCAATTAATTTTATTATAAGTGTCTAAATATATTGTAAGAATAAATAATATATATATATATATACTTATGTTTATTTATATTTATATATGTGTTACTTTTAACTTATATTAAAAAATAAATGTTAACTTTTATGAGAACCTTAAAATAATGCATTAAATTAAAATCGTTTATATGGTATATATATATATTAATATAAATTTATTGTGAATAATAAACATTAAAAAAACGTTTCTTCTTATTATTTTTGTGCTAAGTAAAATATATTTTTCCTACATAATATAAGTGTGATTCTTCTATTTAATTATATTTACAAGTAATCATAGTTTATGAAAAAATTAAGTACAAAAACTAAATTCGTAGGAGTAGAAAGATGCACTATGATGCAAAACAAATAAATTCATCATTGTGTAAAGCAAGTTATTCATATTTTTATAAGTGCATGAATCAAATATAAGAGAATTTTGACAGAAGTAGAATACATAAATACCTATAATTATTATGTATTAGCAGAATTTTTTAAAATAATACAAATTATGTATAAACCAATTAATTGAGATAACAAGGAATAAATAATATTATGTGATAAAATATGTATTATATTATTAATTAGTATAAATAAGATATATTATGAGCACATATCTATTCTTTTTATATTCATTATATATTTCCTTGCAATATTATTATGTCTTTTAAATGACTTTTATTAAGAATACCCAATAAATTTCATGTATTTATGTAATCAATTAATAAGGATTTTTACTGAAACGTATTAATTTATATACTTATATAATATGCCATAGTAATATTGGTTACAAAAGCCTTTTTTTTAGCATTTATTATAATACATCATTATAGCAAATCTAAATTATATAGTTTTTGACACTAAATTAATTTATGTGTTTAATTCTTTTATTCACAATGGCACAGTATGCTACTTATACAGATCCGAGTTGCATGAAGTATAAAAAACGATAAATATAAAAAAAAATGTTATAGATATATTTAGAATTACTTCCTTTGTTTTTTTATGTATCTGTAGGTTCAACAAAAATGCATTAATCCATAAATATAATAATTTTAAGATATATATTTAAACGTCATAATGATAATATAATATAGATAAATGAAATTAAGATATTTTTTATTAATAAATATAAAAATAACATTCTATGAAAATTACAATTTTATGTGTTTAATACTTTTTTATTAACTTTTTATTGTATAAATTTCTTTATCAGTTTCCATAACACATTATTCACCTAATATTGTTGCAGAATTCTGTGTATAATCTTGCAAGATACATAATTTAACGTAGATAAAATATGTCCTATGATCTCATATATGAGTTAAATATATCATTATATATATATGATACAGTTAAATTATATCTAACATTGTTTCCTTATATTCTATATTATCATTCATTTATGATGTTTTTCATAAAATATAATAACAAAATTGACTACGTTTTTAGGATTTTCTTATTAAAAAACTAGGTTATGCATTATTAAATATCATGTTACAATATATTTATATTTATTTAAATATGTAATTTTTTTTTTTATATCTATTGATATAATACAAAATTATTACATTTTACGAATGATGTGTTATAAAAAATTTTTACGTACTCTGACTGAATATTCTAGGTTTCAAATATTAATTTTTATAACTAATAATTTTCAGTACATGTCTATTTTGTTAAATCAGGATATTCATAACAATAATTATAATTATATTCAACTTTCTCCCTTTATTTCAATATTCATATTAAATTTATTTCCTCTAAATACATAGATTTTTGAAATTAATTTCTACTTTTATCATTAATTTAACATATATTTTTTCGTTAAGTTATATATTTTTTTCTACAAAAATAAGGTCTTTGAAAATTATAATACTATTTAAAAAAATGCATGTTGTATTCATTCATAGCTTTATAACATTTTTAGTATTCTACAGGGTTATGCAACAGCTGATAATTATTTTCAGTTAAATTTTTGTATTCTGTTTCAAAGGTATAATGTAATTCTTGTTTTTCTTCATTTCTTCTTTTCCATAAACTAATTATTTTTCTTACAATTGGATATACATATGGGGAATAAGGCGTATACTTAAAATAAACGAATAAAATTACATTTTTATTAATATTTTGTTTATTTAGAATTAATATTAAATTATAATGTGTTTTATAAATTTTTATGATATATAAGTTATATAAATTTAGTTTATTTTTAACCTTATACAGAATGAATATAATTGTTGATATCGTAAAAGCTAGAACAATTAAGGATGCAAATGTCTTTAATAAGTGATGAAAAATTTTGGAAAAAATTAAGCAGTCATGTAATTTCTCCTTATATGGTTTATATTCCTTATTAAGAGTATACAGTATTATTTTTAAACTATTGTTGCTATCATACTGCTGTAATAAATTCATATATTCTTCAAATGTTTTACTATCAGTGAGGCATGTATAGGAGCCATAACTAAATAATTCGAGCTCATTATATAGTTTATCCAGATAATGAAATATACTTACAACATTACCATTAATACTTCGGTTCATATTATTACATATAGAAAACAAACTATTACTTTCACCTTTTGATGCACTCATTATTTCTTCGTAACATTTATCATTGTTAACACAGGGATATTTTTTTTCTTTTAGTTCATCTATTATCTTATAAAAAAAATACATACAGAAATTTTTCACATCATTACCTTTTTTTTCTTTTATATGTTCTAAGTAAAGAGAAAAATCTTCACAAATAAAGGTAAAGGTAGGATCCTTATTTGCTATTTTGTCTTTTATGTTGTTGCATAATGTTCTATATTTACTACGATTCTTAAAATTACTAGGTCCTATGGCAATATCATACTCCTTCTTGCATGTGGGAAATATTTCCTCATAGTTAAACTAATTATGAAATTAATTATATATAAAAAAATTTAAAATATATTTTATAATATATTTTTTTCAGAAATAACGATACTTTAAATGATGTAACATAAAATATACTATTAATAAAATATATAAAAATACGTCTATATATGATGTAGACATAGTGTATCCTATATGTTTTTAAATGTAAATTAACACAAAAATATTATCCTTAATATAATATTTTTTTGTTAAAAATAACATTCAATATGATATCTTAGTATAATATGTATAAATTCTTGCACCTTTTGCATTTTACACGTTATTTTGACATATATATGTTTATTATATTTTTTATACCTATTAAACTTTGGCATTAATAAGAATTAGATATATGGAAACAACATTTTCATAAAAAAATATCTACTATGGAGAATAATGTTATAACATTGAAATTACATAAATATATAGAATAACAAATAGGTTATATGTAATATTTTTTAATACATAAAGAATTTATAAAAACTACAGCTACTTCTATAAAAAGAAAAAAATATAATATATACCAATATAATTAAAAAAATTATTTTATAATGTTTATATATATTTAACGTTCCTTTAGAATAATTGATATAAATATAGTACAATAGTCATTTGGATGGTTCTTAATTTTTTTTATAATATAATTTTTATGATTTATAATAATCTACATTTGGCATGATTCATAAGAATCATGTTTAGTATGAAATATTTGTATATTAATAAAAAAAAAAATATTAATATATTAAATTAAATGTAAATACATTATACCCTAAACGGTTTTATTAAAAATATAATTTATTCCATAATAAACTCTCTTAAATAACATATACATATCTATTGATTATATCTACTTTATATTTTTGAGAATAGTACATTTTACTTTTACCAATTATATCAACGATTATGTAGTGCCTAAATTTTTTAAGACTATCGTATATTACAATAAAAATAATATTTTAATAATAAAGAATACTATAACTATAAAAACAATAATGAATAATATTTTTTGTATTTTAAATATACTAGTATCTTATTGTTTTGTACCTTTAATTACAATAATACAGGTATACAAGGTCCATTTTTTTTATACAATATATACATTAAAGCATCAAAAAGTACCAATAAATTTTTATAAATTTGTTTATAATAATACATTCTTTCTGATCCTTATATGAATAAGTGATTTTTCGCAATTTTGAACTATTGATTGTTATTTAATTATACATATTAAAATCATAGAATAATTTTTTTACAAATGAATATATAATTTTAAGGATAGTAAAAAATAAAATAACATTATTTTATTTTTTTCGGTATACATATAGCAATTACACAACTATATATCTTTGAAGATGTTCTATATACCGTATATTTATATTTTTTTCTTAATATTTATATGTATAAATATAATTTCTTACTGTCAAAACTAAAAAAAAACATTTATATATGAATAAAAAGAGTAGATTTTTTTCTTTATTAAAAAATATATTGATTATATTTTTCTAAATTATAAGTGAACGTGTATAATAATTTAAATAAGTTATAATATAAATTTAAATGTTATTTTTAATATAATATATATTTGCATAAATAATAAATTAATAATGTATAAGTACTTGATTGATATATATATGTGAATTTCTACGACAATAGTAAATAAGTATAGAATGTTTTTTTTATAAATGTTGAATGAATTTTATTAACATATATTAACTTATTATTTTGTTCATAGATATATATAAAAATAGTAATGATTAACTGAATTTTTCAATAATTTCAACGAATAATAATAGAAATTATATTTCTTAAATGACGTTTAATTGGAATAATAAAATATATATAATACAATTTATCCTTATCACATAAAGAAAAATATATCTTTTGAGTTTAAGAATGTTAAAAAAAATAAATATAAACAAATGTGGAACTACGAATTGGTTTGATATTTATTATTAAACATATGGAAGACATATAAAAATGTTAGGAATTCAATTTATTATTATTCTATTTATATATAATTATGAGCTTAATTTGTAAAAAGGATATATTTAGAAAAAACCTTTATACAAAATTATGGCATTTTAATAAAATATATAATGTATTAATTTATATAAAATATAGTGTAAAATATTTAAAATAAATTCATTATTTCTTGTATTTTTATAATAGATCATACAATATGCATTTTATGTTCAAATTATACACATGAAAAAGAATTCCACGTTTCATAACATCAGAGACCACATAATATTATAACAGGAATTAAATAATAAGTTATTTTTATTAATTAACATATTTTTCTTATACTATTAGTATTGAACAAAATGAATATAACTTTATTATAATTGAGAATTTGTCCTTATAATCTTTTTGTTCTATAAATATCGTAAAAATAATAATATTTCCTTTCATTATGTTATTTAAATCAAATAATAATAATATATTTTTTATTTCACAAATTAAAACTATGTAATTATTAAACTATTAGATGGAAATATTCTAATATGTGCTATTTTGTATTGCACAAATGTTATATAATATGATTAGTTTATATAGTGATAGATTATATATATTTTTCATACAGTACAAAGGTATACTTTAGTTTGTATTATGATAAATTTATATAATTATATTTACTTTTAAGTGAATCATGTATTTTCATTTGGAATATTATTATATAAAAAAATTCATTTCTTTTGTAAACAAAATTTATATTGGAAATTAGTTAAAATTTTATATGAATTACTGAGAATTACTTTTATAAATGTATGTTTATTCATTTTATATATGCGTAAATTTAAAAATATTTATTCTTGTATATAGAAATACTAGTCATATAATTATATGAATTATCTTCTTTACATTATTTTATATACTTCTATGGTTGACAATATGTTTAACAGCTTCTATATCACTAATTTTATTTGTATTATGAAACGATCTCTTAAAAAATAAAAATATAGTAAATCTTTTCTTTCTTCACAATACATAATATTTAATAATTTTTTCTTGTAAAACTAGGATAAAATATTAATAAAATTCCAATGAACAAGTATTCTATATATATTTCACTCTGGTGTGAAGAATAGATTATTATATCCCTGATGATAGTTTAGAGTAGTAACTCTGAATATCCTGAATAAATAATTATATATATTATAATAGTTTGAATAGTAACAAAACAATAAATTTTGCATCAGTATGTAATATATGGAAGGAGAAACAGCATATATAATTGCGAACAAGTATAACAAAATCCATGATTTTATGTCTTCGTTGATATATATAATAATTCAGAAGAGCATGCTAAATAATATACCATTTATTCAGAGTAGTTTTTCAAGACACTTGAAATAATGTATTAATGAACTAAAAAATAATGATTACAACATGTATATTTTCTTTTTCAGAAGGATAAATTACGTTATTATCCTAGAAATTTGTTTCATATGCATGTGTATGTATAATTCATGAGGAATAACAAGAAAAATATGTTTTAACTTCTAAAACATTGTATAGAATATTTGCAACATGTTTATCCAAATATATTTAAAGCACATACATTCTGCAATTTTTTATTTACTCATATTTTTTTCCTAATGTGGAATAATGTAACAATTTACCTAACATTTTTGTTATATTTAACAAGGTTCATTCAGTTCATTGCTCTAATTATAATTTTTAAAAATATATTCTTTACTATAAATGATTATTTAATATCTTGTATTGTATGATTTACACACGAATTAAATAATTATACATAAGTTTTTTTGTGTAATAATTATAAAATTATTGTTACACATATAAATAAGATGGGTAAATATTTACTAAAATTTGTCTTTAAAAAAGTCATATAAGCAATTATTTTAAATAATTGTCCATGAATACAATACACTTGAATAATGACTTAGAGTGAAAATGTATATTATAAATTGATTCTTATATCCTATTTTTTATTAATATGTTAGTAAAAACTCATGCACTTATATAAATATAATTGCATTTTTATTTATATACAATATGAAAAACTATAGTAAGCAATAAAGAGTTCAAATATTTAAAAAATTTAGATTTATATAAATATAAAACAATATATGGAATATTTATAGAAAATAGTGTCATCCATATATAATAATAATAAAAAGAAGTATACCCATAAAATCAGTTTCATTTTTAGTTTATATTTTAAACATACATTGGACATATTATATATGCATAAACATAATGAAGTATTTTAAAATATTTTATTTTATAATATTGGATTTAACACAAAATGTAGTAATAAACAAAGTTGTATAAATCATTTTTAATAATATTACTATCTGAAATATTTCGGGAGTTCTATATGCATGACGTCGTTTTAATGCTCATATATGTGATAATAATAATTACATGAACATCATATATAGTTATAAAAATTTTCTTATTGTGGGATTTATTAGTTGCATATATTGTAATGCACCATAAATGAAAAAATATCACTTATTAAATATCATCATGTATGTATACTCATGTAATATAGTATATTTATGATATAAATATTTATTTTATAAAACATTTTGGTATTATATTTATTTAATACTCTTTATAATAATATTTGATGTAAATCTTTAATTAATATATAAAAGGCTATTTAGGATTCTATTCAATAGTAAATATCATGAACCGTTTTGTTTATCAAATTACAACAACAATAATAATAATTCAAAAGGTTTTATTACAATTATTATATTTTCAGTAATTTAATCAATTTTTAAAATAGGTACGTTTTATACTTTTATTACTGTTAAATATATATATCGTCAATGAAAACAATCAATTTACATATTTTATAGTTCTTTCATATTTATCCATATATAATATGCGTATGATTATAATAATAATGATGTGTTATAATTATATACTTTAATAATTTAAATCATTTATATAATAATTTGTTTTTAATAGTAATAAATAATTGACACAAAAATTATTTTTGACATAAAATAATAAAATTGTTTTTTTTTTCATTCATTTTTCTTTTAGTATATATATTTACTTGAGATAAAATTAGGTTATGAGATTAGTTATATAAAAAAATAGAATATTGTTAGATATTTAGTAAAAAAAGAAGCACTATATGGAAGAATTAAAAGAAAATTTAAAATATGAAACATGTATTATAATATATAAATATTATATAAGGAGATATATGAATACATAAAAGAAAAAAATAAGGTAAAAAGAAATGTTTCATATTTATATCAATGCCTTATGTTAAATATGCACATTATGCATTTGATTAGAACCTGATGATTATCATTTTTAAAAATACAACATCAAAAAATATTGTTTAATAGTCTAGTCATTAGTAAATTTTTTGAAATAATAATAGTACATTAAAAAACACCTCATATAAAAGCAATTTTTTTTTAATCAATTTTATATATATACCTATTATTACATCAATAAATGTATTGAATTAAAGTATATAAGGCTTTTAATATTGTGTTTTTCATAATATATTTTAGTAATTTATAAATGATCTTAAGCTTACAGAAACATAAGCATATTTAGTTTTTTTCATAATATAGTTGATTCAGCTTCTAAAATTTATGGAGTCAACAAATATATTTTATAATAAATATTTCGATTATAAAATTTTTTTATTTTGCAAACATGTGGGTTGACACATATTTTTTAGTATAAATGTGTATTCACATGTACATAGACGTTTTTTGTCTTTTTTACTATTCTTATTATATTGAAATGTAATTATTTTGAGCACCCGTGCATGAAAAGTATGATATTTCAATTTTACTATTATCTATGTTCGATATTAATGAGTCATCCACATTTTTACTTATATATCTTTGTAAACAATTCATTCTTTTTATTTTTTTGCGTATTAGTATACCAAGAGGACTATTCTGAATACAGCAACATAAAAAAATCAATTACATTAAATATAAATACCCAATATAAATTATTCTTATTCATATTTTAATAGTATAATAGACTTTCAAATATTAATACTATTCATATTATATCTGTATTACTTTGTACAATAACACAAATATGATAATGTTACATAAAGCAACCAAACACACAATGAGTAATGTTTTTACTAAAAATACTGTGGTTACATTATATTCATGTCCTTCTTCTATTCTTCCTATAGGAGTATCCACCGAATTGTCGTTATTTTTTGATGAAACCATTGTATAGGTTTCTCTGTGAACTTCAGGATTCACAAAATCTTCCACAGTAACTGTATAAATGTCATCTTTTTCAGTATTAAAGTTATTGGATTGTAGAAAATTATAACTCAAAGGTAAATCATCATACCCTATATCCATAGAAATACCATTAATAGTAACTTTTACTTTTTTTTCTGTAATAGTTGACTTCTCATTTTTAATTATGCTGCACCATTTCTTATTGAGATATTCATTATACTTTTGAATTAAATCATTAGCATTTTCTGAATAACTTATGAAATAATCCTTATCATAATGAAAATCATATATTTGTTTTATTATACATCTTTTAAGTATAGAAAATTTATCTGTGTCTCTATCACATTGATAATTTGGGTTATTACGTTTTGTATTCCATGGTTCTTCGAGAAAAGTTATCAAATCAGGCTTAAAATTATCCATTAATTGAGATAAATAAATATTTGCAGTTACGATATCTAAATAATAGTTCAAAGCTCTGCAGCATTTTTGATTGTTAAGAGTAGTACATTCATCTTTTATTTTATTATATCCAACTTGAATCGATGCATTAAAATCTGTTATTTTACTAATAATTTCAGAGGAGTCTGTACTTATTTTAATTTCAGATAGTTCTTTATGGATATCAACATTATTAAGTAATTCTTTCACCAATTTGTTAGAAGGGAGTTCAGATACATTGAAAACCTGAAATATATGTGAATTATATATAGGAGAACTCATAAATTAAGGATGCAATGTAAGAATATAATGTTATTCTTAAAATTAATCAATAAATTTTTATATAAAAATAATTCACACTATTCACTTCTAATGAATTATATTATTTATATATCATATAATGTTGAAGGATTAATATATAATCATCAAGAATATCGTTAATATATTTTATATATTCGTAGCATCACATATTATATGTTGTCCCACATGGATCAAGAAGTAATGATTATCATTAGATATATATATGAATTCCTGTCATTATTTGATGTATACATTGAAACAAAATATCTATATAATTGAAGAACAAAATTTCTTAAAGAATATCAGTATTACAAGTCATGAAAAATAAAGAATCAATAAATAAAAATAAATTATATCTATATTGCAAAATTATTCCAATATAAAATTGTAAAAAATGTTATTTCTCGCACCATATTTTAAATAAAAAATAAATTATGTCTTATGAAGATATATTACCATCATAACACGGAAAATAGCATCTTCTTTAAAAAGCACCTAAATATTATTTTTACATGCCTTATTTTAATAGGTGTTGATTTTCTCTATAGTATTTATTATTAATTTAATCTTGGGGGTTGTATAATACTGCATATATTTTTCTTTTTTTACATAAAATTTAAGGTATATATTGAATTAATCTTTGCAGTAAACACAAGATATAACATTGTTATGACTCGTTATAAGCATATATATTATTTTAAGTAATTAAATATATAATGTTAAATTATTCTTTTTAGTGTTTTTGTTTTAATCATTTAAAATAACATATGATGATATGAAATTTATATATTAATAAACAAATCATAAATTTTACCTATATTCTGCATCTATATATTGTAAGGACAATAATGCAGGTTTGTTGTAGAAACAGAAAAAATTATATTATATTTTATATAAATATATTATATCTGTGTAGATTAGATAAAAAATGATTTTTGGAAATTTTATATTTCAGAAATATTACAATCTATATAAAATGTAAAATAAGTAATTCATATGTTATAGGTATTCATATATAAATATATAAAATAATAATAATGTAATAATTTATATATAATAATTACTTATTTATATATAAGTAATTTATTTTTTTTAAAATATCCATTATGTATTTATTTTCATGTATTAGGTTTTTTTAGTATATATTTATATTACATATATTATATTAGTATTAAAATATTATAAAATTTATTTAAGTGAAGAGAATATATATAATTAACCAAAATATATTTTATGAGAAAACACCAGAGTATATATAAGAAATTTATACATATTAGTTCTACTACATGTAATACATTAATTATATTATAAAAACTTTTTGTTTATATATGGCAACAAACATGTTCTGACAAAATAAAAAAAGTGGCACTTTCTTTTTTCTATATTATTTTTTTATATGGCATATTACATAATGATATTATTAAACACTCCTATTATATATACAAAAAAAAATATACAAACCATATTCAGTTTATTGCTCATCTCAGTTACTGCACTGCATGAAATGTGTTAGTGTTATTTGATGATTATAACATAATAGATGTTATTATATATCTTTTGTAGATTATATAAAAAATTAATATTACATTATTTATGTACCAATAGAATAAATATAACGATTTAATATATATATATATTTACTATGTCATGGAGGAAAATCATTTATCATGTATCACTGTTATTCTTTTTGAATTTAAGAAAAAGCTTTTATTTTTTGTTAGGTATATTAAAAATTTTGATTTTCTCTAATATAATTATAAAAATAAATAGAAATTAAAAATTTTATTTAAAGGTATTTTTATTTAAATTATAGTGCATATAATATATTTTATTATAAAAAATAGCATTTAGGTAGTTCCTGCATTAGAAGTTTTTACTTTTCCAATTTGTAATAATAAATATACTTTCAGAAATATTTGTGCATTTTTATTATGACTATTATGAATATTATATACTCCATTGTATTTATTAAGCACCAAATTATTTCATGATAGCATATTAACATATAGTATAGAAACACATATCATGTTTTTATTTATTATGATTAATAATTTAAAAAAAAAAAAAATACATAAGTATACACGTTACATAAATGTGTATTATATATAAAAAAAATTACGCACAAAAAAAATATTTAACGTTATGTGTTATAAAAAATAATGAAAGATAAAAACGTGTTATGATGTGTAAAACATGGAATACATAAATATATGCTAAATATATATGAGTTATAAATTATGAATACATTTTTATTTCTCATATGTTTTTATTATATAAAAACATAAATAAATATATTTTATTAATAAATATATATATTATATAATGTGAAAATATGTGTTACTTCTATAACCCTTTCTACGGTTACAGTAATACGTAAATATAAATTTAAAAAATATAGAATAAAAATAATATGATTAATTAAAATATTCGCATGTAACTATAAGATTATTATTTTTAGATATTCTCTTGTTTATTTTATCTTAAGTATTTATATTGTACTGTGCAGGAAATGAGTATAAATATATAATAAATATTAGAAGTTTTATAATTTGTGTTAAAAATTATGTATTCTAATAATTTTTTATACATTTCTAATAAGAATCATATAATAATATGTATAAATGTATATAATTAAAAATGAGACTTAGTATTTTTTAGTTAATATATATCTATGTGCTTTAGACTAAGTGCGCAAAAATACAATTTCTATATATATTATTATTCATTTTCACAATATTAGAGATGATTAAATGTGAAAAGAATATAAATATATATTTTTATGAGTGGCAATATCACAGTAACATATTGTATAACAAGAATTGTAAAAAATATGCATATTTTCCTATCTCTAAAATAGGTTTTTATGTATCTCTCAAATAGAGTATTATTCTATGTTACATATTTTATACCTAATAAATATGAAGTAAATATTATTTAATTACATATGAATTACTTATATTAAGCATTAGATAAGTTTAAAAATAAGCAATGTATAGATGAGTAAAAAAAAAATATATATATATATTTATTATTACGAATTCATAGAACTGAAATTTTTTTTTCCACTGGTTAATATACATTTAAATGTAGAATCAATATTAAGAATATATATTTTATATAGAATAAAATGTTAGATCATATATATTAAATGAATTAATGTTTTCCGATAAGTTCGAAAGTAAAACAGATTTATTATTTTTATTCCTTTTTAAATATTTATTCTCCCTCATATGTTAATATTGTATTATTTTTACTGTACATATTACATGAAAAATTAAAAACATATCAATATTTTTCAATATTTTATATATTATGATTTATGGAATAGTTAATTTTACGCATGATTTATTATCATAACATTGCAGAATTTTAAAGAAGTAATTTATATATAAAATTATTATAACCGCATATACATTAATTTATATCATTGTATGATTATGTTCTCGATATTTAAGTGTATCAGTCACATTATGCTACTGTTACATACATATGTATTACAGATTTTCCTACATGTCATAGAAAAAGAAATAGTGTTAGAAAATGTATGTACTGTAAGAGCATAAATATATTACAACATTCTTAAGGTTGTGAAGATATATAATATTTAATATATATATTGTGTCATATAATAGACACATTTGGAAAGAATATTAATTAGCTGATATTATATGTTACATGTGCTTTTTTCATTATTACACATTTAATAAATTACATATGACAAAGGAAAATATTCATTATTTATATCTTTTTCACTTAGTATTAGAGATTTAAGTAAAAATAGAGAAAATACGTACATATTGAAACAAATAAACAAGGTAAGTATTTTATAACATTAAATACACATTATGAATTTTTTTAATACCCTTTGTACAAATAAGATGGTTTGTCATACAATTGTAATTAGACATATAATTTATATATTTGTTATTATAAATCATTAAATAAATACGTGAACCTTCTTCACGTAGATCATAAAAAATGAAAACATATTTTAATAACATTATTATCTAAATTGTTATTTAAAAAAGTTATATTTTTATCGCTTCGTTTTGCTTCGTTTTTGAGGAAATGGAAGCACAAGCCATAATTAAATTATAACTTAACAATTAAACTATATTAAAAAATGTAAATTAATTATTAAGAGAAAAAGAGTTAAATGAAATCTCTAAAAAAAAAAAAAATCACAAATTCAACAGAACAAATAAATAATGAATTATAATTCTATCAAACGAGTCGTAAGAAATACATTAAAACACTTAAACGTACTAATACATCGCAGGAAAAATATATGCATGTATGTCATATATAGAACTGTAATTATTATGAGATATTAATGTATAAAGTAGTAATAATTATATATATTTTTAAAGATACACCAAAAATAATACTATGTAGTAATATTAAAAACAAAATGGAATCAGAATAATATATTCTTCTATATTGCAGCTAGCTTATATATTGTAATTCATTATATATATAATTATATTATTCAATAAGAAATGTCTGTATTCTATTTTAAAATTACAAGTATGGTTATACAATAATGCAATAAACTTAGTGCGAAAAAGAGATGAACCCATATATGTATATTATATTTAGTTATTGTGTTTGAAGAAAGCATTTTTTTTTTTTTTATGGATTAAATTTTAACATTAGTATTATGAAATAATATGAAGAAAATTTTATTTATAATGAATACAATTATTTCTTATAATAATAATTTTAACATTGATATACTATTATATTATTGTGCATTTTCGTTTTATTGTATAAATTTATACCATATATATGGCGACGAAAATAATAAGCCTCCTTAATGACGTTCCCTTAAAATTGCTGTATTTTTAGTAAATATGTTCTTCTACAAACATCATAATTTCAGAAAATTTATGTAAACTATTAAATTATTATACAATTCAAATATATTGTGTTTTTAATATTTTATTTATGAATATAATAATCTTAAATTTTTTTTTTTATGGTATTCTTGACATAAGGGTAAATGTGGAAGACTAGTTTTACTTTGAATTTTTCACATATATTCTTACTTGTCCCTTATTAAAATATTTTATATATAGCCATAATAATTTTTTATATTATAATATGAATATTTTGCTCTTTGTTTTTTTGAATTTATATATACAATATCTTTATATTATATTACTTTTTGTAATTAGAAGTTTTAATATTTGGATAGGATTTATTCAATTTATCAAGTAACAGAAATATTTAAAAATATAGTTCTATAAAATAACATACTATTTTTAGCAATTTTCTTTGTATATCTTATTATGTTATGCTGTCTTATAAGCATTGTCTATTAGTCAAGATTTTATTTTTCCCTTAAATATATTATGAACTTTGATTTAATAAAATATTGCATAGGATTAAAATTTCTTACGAAAATAAAATTTTATAAAAATAGTTAATGTAATAAACTTAAAAATATATATTTATGAATATTTTATTATAATATTCAATTATTGTCAATGCATATTTATAAATATTTAATTTTTTACACTTTAAAGTAATAACTATAATTATTGTTGATTTTATGGAAATAATAAAAAATTGAATATACATTTAGGATTTTAAACTAAGAAAAAAATTACCATATATTTTTTGAATGTATTTTCATTATTTTAAAATATTTATGTTAAAATAAATTTATATTTTTTATTATTTCGTGCACATAATAATTCCTTTTATTCTATTGTATTAATTACATCAATCTATTTTTAATTATCAATGGATATTACACTTTTATTGGAGTTTTCTAAAGTGTTATATGATAATTTAGATCATTATTTATAAATCCTCCATACTTAATCTGATGAGAACTTACTAATTGAATTTCATCTTTACATTTTTTGTTACATGTTTCTTTTAACTTCTTTATTATTCTTTGTAAATGTAAACGATATGGCATATACTGGAAATAAAGAAGCAATATTATATTTTTGTGTGCGCTATTATTTTTGATATAAATTTCTGTAATAATAAGTAATATAAATTTTAAACTAATATACAATTTTGTAATTTATATTATAATTAACCTTATACAAAAAAAATGCAATTAATAGTAATAAAAGAATTTCAATGAATAATATTAAAATAACCTTTCGTGAACTTATTCTATTTGAGAAATGTATATGTTCGGGGATGTTTATGGTTTCTTTTTTTGTCTGAATATATGGTTTATATATTTCTTTAACTATTTCCATCACTTCATTTAGACTGCTATTTTTCATTTCTTCACAATTTTTTAAAAAATCATAATAATTCTTAATACAATACGTATAGGAATTGCATGTTTTACTACTATTTTTTAATGGTTCAAGGTAATTATATAGAGTATTGAGATTATTCAATATTTTATATATATCTTCATTAAGATCTTTTACATAAGACTCACACTTCCCCCTGTCATTTTTTCCATTTTTTACGTATACATCTATCATTTTTTTGTAGCATGCTTTTTCTCCTTTACATGAAGATTTTAAGTTTTTTAGTTCACTTTTTAGCACATAGTTGAAATATATGCAATACGATCTTATATTATCAGGTGCTATATCTTTTATGCGTTGTAAATAGTTACTAAAATAAACACAATTATTAATAAAAGCATCCCCATCCCATATTCCTAATAACTTACTAATCTGAATGCACAAATTATAAAAAGAATTATTATAATATTTTCGCTCATATTCTTTTTCAACTTCATTATAGAATTGTATACTTTTAGGAAATACACCCTTAAAATTGAACTAAAATGGAATATAAAAATTCATAAGAAAATTTAAAATAATATATTTAAGAAAAATATTTTGCCTTTTATTCGTAAATAAAGGTATTTTTAATGATGTAAAATAAATTATAATATTTAGAATAAATAGGAATATACATTGTGTGTATCACCATTGGATCCATCCATTATGTTATATGTATGTAATTTTTTTTCAAGTAAGGTTTTACTGTATTTACTATAAATATATATGTGTTAAAAACACATTAGGAACTGTTACATTCTTGCCATATTTATTAAATTTTGTATTCCTTTATTTTATATAAAGTATTATATGTTCATATTTTTATAATGTTATTCAAATATATTAAAATATGGTTAATCATTCTTTTGATATATTAAAATCTTCATTTGTTACAAGAATATAATATGAAAAATGAATTTACACTTATAGAATTTCTTAATAATTGTAAAAAGTAAACATAAATTTACAATAATATAAAATTAGCATTTACCTAAAAATAAATGGATCTCTATAAAATAATAAACGAAATATGTATTTTCAAAATCTATATATTTTAAAAAGATATATTAACACATATTTATCGATTTTATCCAACGAATCATAATGGATGTATTAATAAGGCTTATAAATTCATGATTTAGGGTAATATAGAGATACGTGTTTAAGGGATTGTTATTAATAAATAATTTACAAGATTAATGGATCTGGATTTTGTAGTTCCTAATATTACATTAAAAAAATTATAGAGAAACATTTATATTATGTATTTTCATTTACCTTATTTCGTTTTTTATAATATGTAAAACACTCTAAAATATATCTATATTATATAGCACTTAATATATGTAAATGCTACAATCAAGTTTAACTATATAAATAAAAATATATTTTATATTTTTTTTAGTCATAAACATATGTTAAACATTCTTTATTTCAATAAATATACGTTTAAGAGAAACAATAAAATAATTTTATTATCATATATATAAATAAATTGTTTTAATTGGAATTATATATTACTTTATAAAAATAAAAATTTTAAAATTATAATATTTTTTTATATATTGATTAATGTATATATTTAACAAATAAATAACGATATATTAATAAAAAATTAATTCCAGGACATCAAAATTATTCTTATCATATTATAATATAATAATTCCATTTATTTCTATTTCTGTAATTGCATTAATTTATATTATATTAATTAATAATACGGTTCAAATTATGGTATATAAAGAATTTTGAACATACATTATATTATTTCCTACAACATACATCTGCTATTGGATAAATTAAAATTGATAATATTATAAAATAGTGGCTTCTATTCATCTCTAACATAAGGAGTATTATATATATGAAGGCTATTTATTTTTATTTTATTATATTCATTAATTTACAAAAGTTTGAAAATAATTTATATATATAATATATATATTATATGTCAATTCATTTTATTTCATTTTAAAATGTACCTATGATATAAGAAATTTGTTTTTTTTGAAGGAAGCACATATTAACTATAGCGTTTTTAAAAATTAGTTAAATGAAATATGGGGTAAATTAATCAAAATGTTTTTTATCTATGAACATATATACATTTCCAAAAATGTATCTAATTAATCAAAAATATTAGACTGACAAAACTTTGAAATTACCTATAATATATAACGATCGCATAAATATATGTAATTCTATTAATATATACATAAATAATATTGAATATTTCACTCAGAATTAAATGAAAATATTTTATATTATTAGGTATAAGATGAGAGATTAATTCTTTATATATAATTAGTAATTTATATACTCGTATTCGATAAATAATATTGCATTGAATATATAATTTTTATTTCTTATTTACATTCCTGCTTCTTAAAAATTATACTAATAATAAAAACATAGTTTACGTGAAAACTTATTAAATGTGAAATAATGAATTTTTATTAAAACATTTATAAATTTTATTTTTCTATAAGGCTTATATCACTTGCATATATTTTGTTATATGAAGAGAGATGTTGTTATATATAAACCCAGAAGAATATCGTTAAATATTAACTATATCTTCATATTGAAAAATAAATTATATATGAATTTATTTTACTAATTAATAAATAAATGTAAGAAAATTTCATATTCTTATATATTTTGTTATATATTTTTATTATGGATATAATATGTATATTGATATATTTTTAAATATGTAACGATTTATCAATGCTTAAATAGAAATTTTAATAAACAGAATAATTTTTAATTATATTATTTTTGTTCTACATATTATTATAAGGAGAAAGAAAAAATACTATTTTTTTCATAAAGGGATATTATAATTATTATATTAACATACTAATTTATAAAAATTTACACAAATTATTTTTTAGTTGTTAAAATATATTAAAATTCTTTGGTTCATATATAGTATAAGGAATCATATATATTATTACAATTATGTTGTGTTAAGAGAAATGTAATAATTATGCAATTTAAATTATATATTTGTTATTTATATCAATTAGTTCTTGCAAGACTATAGAATGTTTTATGTTAAAATTTTAATCATATATCTTTATAAAAAATGCAATGTTATACAACGAATAAATTGTTTAATAAAGGAAGAAAAAGAAAGTCAAATAAAAACAAAAAAAATAACAAGGCTAATCTATTAGAGAATAATTTATATATAAAAAAAGTGTCACAAAATTTTGTAATTTTTCCTATTAGCATGTATGTTCCTAATATAGTTATAAAATTTATTTATTTTTGGCTTATTATCAATGTTTAAATATTCGAAGAAGATATTATGAAACCCTATTAATTGTATTTGTTTATATATTGATGCAATTGTCCTTGTATAACATTCGTTTCAACGTAGAGTATAAAATTAAACAATAACATATCTTAAAAAGAATAGTAGCGCTTTTTATTTTAGTTCAATTGAATAGATCATTTTTCACCTGTTAATACGTTATAGAACCCATTTTTATTATAATTGATCTCAATGATGATTACATTATGGAATTAAAATATTGGTATCCTATAAAACTTGGGTTTGTAAGTGTTGGATATATTACATTTTTTGAGGGTATGGATAATTTTGCTGATATTTTTTATGTTCTTTAGTACAGAATTTTATGTTGGCATGGAAATTACCTTTTTTTGAATTTCACATTTATTAATTTTATGATATATAAAATTATTCATGTGTTTTGGATTTTTAATTTTTTGTTTTTATAAATAAGTTGATTATGTAGTAAAATTACTTCGTTACATTAAATATGCATTACTATGTTCTATTCTTACATTGAATTTATAAATATATAATTATTATGTGCGTATAATTTTTATAATGATTTTATTTTGTATTTTTCCTGATATAACAAGTTTGATAGTTGGGCATCTTTATCCGAATCTTAACTTAATATTCTTAACAGAATTCCTAGTTGTGATGATGATAAAATACTTTTTCAAAGATGTATTAGAATTTTTTTTTCATAAATTTCCATATGCTATATCATATCTCTGATTGTATGAAGTTATATTGTCAGGCATATTATAAAAGAACTCTTTTTCCTCATCTTCATTATAAGTGTTTTTTGTTGTTTTTATTCTTTTTCTGTTACTAAACAAGTTACGAATTGGAGTGAACTAATAGAAAATTTAATAATAATATATATTATTAAGTATTATATAAGTATTTTTTTTCATTAGAAATACATAATCTAGAAAATTGCATGCACTGTTTTTCATATTCCTTAATGGAAATTATATTTACCTTATAAGATAAGAAGAAAAGGGAAGATACTCCAGCAATTATAACAAGAGCAGTGGGTAAAAATTTTATTTTGAATGAACTTAAATTATTAGTTTCAAAATCTTGTAGTTCGCTTAATGTTTGATCAAAATCGTCTTCTAATAAATCATCATTTTCTGGTAATAATAATTGTTCTTCATCTACTACAAGTGACGCGCTGGTATCGTAATCCTCTTCACATTCATGATATTCTACATCATCTTGAGATGTCAATGATGGTATTTTTCTTTTTATGGAATTATTATTATGAAGATATTGATTGTACGAAAAGGCAAAATTTTTTAATAGATCACAGGTACGTATACATCTTTTTATGTTATATTTAGGCTCTCCATTAGTGCAATATTTATTATTCATATTTTTGTATATTTTTATAATTTCACTAACAAAATTTTGGCATGGACATGTATATGTATAGGTTTCCTGGGATAATGTCTGTTCAATAATATTCATATTAGCGTCAAATATTTTTAGCATTATAATATTAATAGGATCTAGATAAAAACGACCATAATCATAATATGTGCACATATCATTAATACCTAATCTATGCAAAATTCTTCTAAAAAACATGAAAATTCCATAAATTTTGCTACTATCAAGTTTTTGTTCATTTACTATTTTATATAACCAGCTATTTAAATTTTGACAATAGATAGAATTAGTTTTGCATTCTTCTGCTTTACTACAAAATATTTTCAAATTTCTTGAAAGTTTCAAACATAAATTATAATATTTTTCATTATCCTTAATCTTTGTATTTTTAATTCCTTTGCAAACGTTTATATACACTTGGTCATCATTAGTACCCTCCACAGCTTCATCCATGCTTTCATATATTTTCCAGGTGTCTTTTAAAAAGGGATACTAATGTTAAAGTGAAAATATATAGAATTTACATTATTTAATCCATATTATAATACTTTAATGCATTAAATAAGCATAAAATGTAGTATTAATCATATTATTATCTAATAAAAATAATAATAATAAAACGAACAATTCTACCAAGATTATTTATATCCAATACTTTTCCTTGCATATTTATTAAGTGTCATGAACACATGTATTTTGATATATATATTTATAAAAATATTATAACATAATATACAATAGTATTAAGTTTATCCTTTATAATTAATATTATAATATATGTAAACAAATTTTAGAATTAAATGGCCCATAATTCATTTATGCATTAAGATAGATATAATAATATGAAAATTAGGCATATAATTTTCCAATCCATATGTTGCAATTATGTGCTAATAAAAATCTTATATATATATTTATGTTAGTATTTAATAGTTCTCTGAATACTACATATACATTCGTTTGAACAAACTAAAGTAATTGTGCATAGGTATCGATATACTTTATTAAGAACATTATATATAACATAACACATATAATCCTAGAAATTTTTTATTAAAAATACTCTTGTTAACATATATAATGATGAATATATTCGATTAAATGATTAATTAATATAAAAGGGTAATTGCTTTTGAATTATATTTCGTTAGCTTGCTATTATCATATATTATTTTTGTATAAATATTATTTTTATAGGCAACAAATAGATAATTATTAGGCCTCAACAATGTAAAATCAATTATAATGAATAAAATCGTAAATGAAAATAAAATATTTTATAATATATTAATAATGTTTATTATATTCATACTGTTTTAACAATGAATGTGTTGTTACATAATTCTTATATTTCACAAAATAATTTAACAATGAATTACCTTCAATCGCTTTTTTGGGTAGAAGTTTTTATCTATTATCTAATATATTGGAAAGATTTAATATATTCTAATTGTCTATATTTAATTTTAAGCACTATAGTATTTTCAAAATTGAATGATATGTAACAGAAATTATGTTTAACACATATTATATTAGGATGACTCAATACACACTTATACAAAAAAGAAAAATAGGGCGAAATTAATAAGACATAAAATTTTATATAAAGAATAAACTTTTTTATATTTAAATTATATCTATATAAGAATATATTTTCCCACATATAGATATATTTATTTAAATATTTCTTTATTCTTCACGTATTATAGCAAATTGTTGGTTAAATACAGCACGACAAGTTATCTACTATTCTGTAACTACAGTAAATTTTGGTTTTCATATAATATAAAAGTGATCGGTTATATATAAATTATATTATTTTTAATATATATTTTTAAGGAAAAAGTACATTACATGTCTAAATATGTATTTGATTAAATAAGCACATTTCAGCGCACTCCGAAGCATCAATCAAAAAATAGCAAAAATAAAGATATCTTAATGGCGAACAATATTATTGTTAAGGTTTTAATCATTTTATTATAAAGAACAAAAAAATAGTTATACTTTTTAACATGTATTATTAAATTATAAATGAATTTTATTTATTTTTTCAAAAACTATATAACATGAGGTTGATTTAATATACTTAAGGATATGATTCCATTTTAAAAAATAATTTAATATTATATATATACATACTCATGTAACATACATATATATATGTTTATATTTATATTAAGCAAAAGTTTATTGTAAGTTAAAATATTATTTTAGGGAAATTTATATAATATTATAATTTGAATTATATATAACAAGTGTTTGTAAATTTTATGCAACTAATGTTCTATTATATATTGTGCTTACATTATAATAATTTAATAGGGCAATGAGTCTATAGTCCATAAACCAGAAAAACATGTTTATGATTTAGATGTTATATTTATTTTAAGCTTATTCTATAATAAACTACATTTTATGACTCCTTACATATATAAACTTTCCTCAATTTTTAAGTATTAAATCAATTAAAATTATATACACTCACTATTTTTATTTTCGGCATTAATATATGGTAAAAAAAAATATTAGATATATTTCAATGTATAAATATAAAAGAATAATCATTAGATATGCATTGATAGTATTATCAATTTTGTCTTAATGCATATTATACCTTAGAATTCATGTATTATATTCATTAAACTGATCATTTATATATAATGTGCATTAACAATTTATATTACAAATAAAAATGTTACACGGTAAATTATAATAATTTATATGAAATATATATACATTTTTGTTGACATAATATTTTTGAAAGAATAAGTTATATACTCTTTATCTTTATATGAATTAATAAATATCTTCTGATATAAGTCATTAATAACTGATATCATATTAATGTAAAGTATCTTTAGTAAAAATTTATAATTTATTTATAAAAGGAATTATATTAAGGGACGTGTTTTATTATATTTAGTACTAAAATGCTTATAGATGTATACTGGATTCATAGAATATTTGTTAAATATAGTATGCAATTATAGCTTGTTGGGAAACTCGTTTATTATTTCTACTATAAGCTCATAGTGTGATTATGAATTTGTTAAAATAGCAGTCATCTCAAATATTTAAATTAATTTCAATAAGATATACATTGAATTGTGAATAATATGTTGATATTTATAATATATAAGAGGAAATTTCGCTCAATCGTTATAAATAATTTTAAGCCGTAAAATATAACGTATTTTCAAAAAAATTTGCATAGAAAAATATCGTCTAGTGTTAATACTTAATAAATTGCATTAAAGGAATGCCCAAAAAATAAAATTTTACGCATATATATAATAATAGAAAAATGAAGAAAAAAAAATATATGAAAAAACAAGAATAAATGCCTGATAGAAAATAAAAACAATTACCTTTTAATTTTCAACTCAAAATAATTTTACTTATATTTATTATTTATACAGTTTTAAACGTATTCTCTACAGTTAACTTTCATTCATATATTTCCATATGCAATTTAGTTTCATATAGGTATAAAAGTTAAGAAGAAATGCAGTTTTTGTATCCTTACTTAGAAATATTCTTTTAACCCTTAGGTATTATGTTAAGGCATCCATAAGTAAATAATAATTTCCATTTCCTTTTGGCTTATGTATATAAGGAGTAGTAAAGATGTAATATATTTAACAAATGATAATTGTGATATTACGTGATTTTATTTATCAAAGCTGCTTGTAATATAATGTAGATTCGTATAATAACAAAAGGTATTGTAATATTATAAATTCTACATGTGTTTTATTGCTCTAAAAAGAAACCATGGAATCTATGTCTTATGTCTATTATAAGCATTGAACACGGAATAATAAATAAAAAACATGCTATATTGCTTGTTTCATATATATATATTTTTAATATATATAATATACATTAAAAAAAATAACACATATCTTTCTTATTTTTTAAATATTTTTAACAAAATTTTAATTTCGCATGTTTCAGATCATTTGATTTTATTAAATTTTTAAAAAAAAATTTTTAAAACTCAGAGCATATATATATAAATATAATATTAATGCGCTGTATTATTCCTTTAAAAGAAAATTTTAGAAATATTTTCGTCTATAAATAACTTCGTTTACGTATACCTTCCAGTACCATACATTAATACAGCATCTCATACTATATTTTAGTTAGTTATATACTATTAATGTGTGATACAAATAAGCTATATGAAGTGGAATACATTCTTGTAGTTATTCAACGATAATTGTCAATAAGCGTTTTTTAAATTGTTTATTTTGAATATTCGCTTAAATACCTTGTTCTCGTCCCTTTATTCCACGATGATTACAAGTATGATAACTATATATATAGAAACTATGTTATAATTTATATACACACTGAAAAATATATATTTCTTATTTTTCTAATATGAATTATGTAACAACTTATGACACATATATTTTGTAGTTATATTTTACTTTATACAATAAATTGTCATAATGGAATCTTCGGCAAGCGAAATAAATGTATATATAAGAACAGGAATAGGTATTTTTTATATTCATGGAAGCTGAAAACTGAAATAAGATAAAGGTAGTTAAGCTACATAGTCTTCTTTATCAGTTACTGGTTATAAAGGTATTACAGGAATACTACCTTATTTTCTCATCTATATGGGGTTTATTATTTGTGTACTGAGATACTATATTATATTAATTATAGGAACAACGTTTTATTATGTAATCAATATAAAACATATTATGAAATATATAATCTATGTGTTCTCGTGCATTATACAATATGTTGAGGTGTAGCAACCCCCCCCCATATATTACACAAGAAATATATTCATGAAATTTATTTTTATACTGATATATTTACATGTCATTTGTAATTTTAAATATCTTCATAATAAATCATGAGTAATATTATATATATGTGCATAATTATTTTTATAACGATAAAAATCTGTGAGAAGCTATGATAGGTACGTTCATTTAATAATTTATTTTTGTAATACACAATAATAAGTTGATATCTTATACAAATAATTACTTATAAATTAATAATTACTTCCATAACAGCATCTATTGTGCAATTTAAATTTATATAAGTATAAGTGGGCACAAATATTTTCATAATAGGTATTATTTTTTATGAATTATTCTAGTATTCTTATATAATTTCACATGAACTTGTTAATTTGTCTTATATATATATATTTTTAAAAAAATCCCGAATTATACAAACTTTAAGAGAATTCAATATCTTGCTGTTATTTTTTCTGAAGTATTCTCAAATTTATATTTAACCAAAATATTAGAAAAGAAATATAAGAATATATATTTCTATGTACTTTTAATTTATTCAGAATTTTTCTAAAAAGAAAAAATAAACATATTATAATAAAATTTTAATAGACAATACTGCATATAGAAAAAAGGAACGAAATGAACATATTGACATTGCATTCATTACTTAAAAATGCTGATTAGACAAAGAAAAAAT